CTCTTGAAAACCAAGTTGCATTTACTAATCACTGAGCTAAGCCATCAGTTGAAATGTGCAAGAATTTTATTTTTTCTCTTGCTATAGTATTTAAAAAGTATTCTTTAATGAGCATCTCCAGTTTAAGTCATTAGAAGGTAATGTTAATCGTTTTAGTGACTGAGTGTTGAGAGAGGTTTGTATTCCTGGAAGCAAAGGTAGTGATGGCATAGCATTAAACATTAACTCAATTGATCTACAGTGTAAATAAAGTCTACTGGCAACATTTAAATGTGCAGCAACAAGTGTCATGTATTTTTAATGATCTGCACATTACTGTCAGGAAGCGCATGAGGGGCAGAGTGGAGAAGCTGTTTGCTTACGGTTACAGTTTCACCTCAATCTCACATGTCTTCTCCCCCTCCTCCTCCCATGCTTTTGAGAGGATTGGCAATTTATTTGGATTAATTTTTTTGTGCCATCTGTGCAGAAGCGATAAGGGAATAATATATTGTATGTAAAATATTTATTTATTCATCTTGTTGCTCTGGGGGGATTTAGCTGGTGAGGCATATAGTTTTTTATAGCAATAACAACTTGAATCAAACCAGATTTTCTTTTCAAGGAAGTTCTAAAAATATATATTAAAGACAATCATTCTAATTAGCTGCTGAACATTTTCACTTTTAATGTGCTCTCAAGATTGTTGACAGCAGATGATTTAGGTAAGAATGTGAGGTTCTGCACATTCAGACCAAGAAACCTTACCAATGCACTGCAACAGTCAACACCAGAGACGACTGAGATGCTTTTGCTCTCTCTTTCCTCCTCATTTTCTGACTATGAAAAGACCAGAAAGACCAGCAAGTCAGTGCCATCTCTTATTTTGTGACATTTTTTGTACTCTTTCATTGCACTCAAAGAGGCAGCACTCCCACTCACTCAACATAAATGCACAGGGTTTCTCATGAATTGGAAATTGGAAGGCAGTGTAAACACGGTGCCATACCCTTAACTATGTCACTGACCCTCTCAAATGAAACGAAGACCCCCAAGGCTGCATTTCTGTAGGAGGTGCTGACCATAGCTTTGACTTTTTAAACAGATAAGTAAACAGAAAGATTGCTGGCTTCTTTAAAATTCATGTGATCAGGAATTTTTGTTAAATATTACAGAGCTTAGCTCTAGATTGTGTTACAGTGTGGTCTGTGTCAGGACACCTATCTCAGTGGTTGATATTGATGCATGGTAGCTTCTCATATTCTCTCTTTTTAAATTCTTTTCAAATGCTGTTTCTTAAAAGATTAAGATGCGTCCCTGTACTGTTACCATGGTGAATCTCAGCACTTCTTTGCTTCCTTATTTGAGACAAACATTATACAGGTAGGTAAGTACAGGTAATGCAGGAAATACAGTGGTGTGAAAAAGTGTTTGCCCCCTTACTGATTTCTTATCTTTTTGCATGTTTGTCACACTGTAATGTTTCAGATCGTCAAACAAATTTATATATTAGTCAAAGATAACACAAGTAAACACATCATGCAGTTTTTAAATGAAGGTTTTTATTATTAAGGGAAAACAAAATCCAAAACTATATAGCCCTGTGTGAAAAAGTGTTTGCCCCCTAAACCTAATAACTGGTTGGGCCACCCTTAGCAGCAACAACTGCAATCAAGCATTTTCGATAACTTGCCATGAGTCTTTTACAGCGCTGTGGAGGAATTTTGGCCCACTCATCTTGGCAGAATGGTTGTAAGTCAGCCACATTGGAGCGTTTTCGGGCATGAACTGCCTTTTTAAGGTCATGCCACAGCATCTCAATTGGATTCAGGTCATGACGTTGACTAGGCCACTCCAGTCTTCATTTTGTTTTTCTTCAGCCATTCAGAAGTGGACTTGCTGGTGTGCTTTGCATCATTGTCCTGCTGCAGAACCCAAGTTCGCTTCAGCTTGAGGTCACAAACGAATGGCCGGACATTCTCCTTCAGGATATTTTGGTACACAGCAGAATTCAGGGTTCCATTTATCACAGCAAGTCTTCCAGGGCCTGAAGCAGCAAAACAGCCCCAGACCATCACACTACCACCACCATATTTTACTGTTGGTATGATGTTCTTTTTCTGAAATGCGGTGTTACTTTTACACCACACATAATGGGACACACACCTTCCAAAAAGTTCAACTTTTGTCTCGTCTGTCCACAGAGTATTATCCCAAAAGTCTTGGGGATCATCAAGATGTTTTCTGGCAAAACTGAGACGAGCCTTTATGTTCTTTTTGCTCAGCAGTGGTTTTCGTCTTGGAACTCTGCCATGCAAACCATTTTTGCCCAGTCTCTTTCTTATGGTGGAGTCATGAACACTCACCTTAACTGAGGCAAGTGAGGCCTGCAGTTCTTTGGATGTTGTTGTGGGGTCTTTTGTGACCTCTTGGATGAGTTGTCGCTGCGCTCTTGGGGTAATTTTGGTCGGCCGGCCACTCCTGGGAAGGTTCTCCACTGTTCCATGTTTTCGCCATTTGTGGATAATGGCTCTCACTGTGGTTCGCTGCAGTCCCAAAGCTTTAGAAATGGCTTTATAACCTTTTCCAAACTGATAGAGCAGAGAAATTGAACTCAGGTGCGATAAACCAGTGTTTTGACAGGGGGGCAAACACTTGTTCACACAGGGCTCTATAGTTTTGGATTTTGTTTTCCCTTAATAATAAAAACCTTCATTTAAAAACTGCATGATGTGTTTACTTGTGTTATCTTTGACTAATATATAAATTTGTTTGACGATCTGAAACATTACAGTGTGACAAACATGCAAAAAGATAAGAAATCAGTAAGGGGCAAACACTTTTTCACACCACTGTAAGTAGAAATAAATCAGTGTTAATATAATGTGACTAAAAATGCACAAGTAAAATCTAAAATGGTAAGACAGAAATCCATGTGTCTGACCCAGAGTTGTAAAGGTATGAACTGACATCCTTCTGTTCATATGTTTCATTCAAACTACCCTATGTGTGCCAGCTGATTTATATTTTCAAACCATGTAAAAAAATCTACTTTTTAGTAGAAAGATGATCTTCTTCCTGTCTCTATATTTCTGAGTATGTGTAAGAAATCGAGGCAGTGGCTCATCATGAAGGCTTGCTGCTGTAAGCTACCTTTCTGGGTGAGTGGGGGGTCTGTTTCATGTGAAGTTAAACCACTGGAGGTCAGCAAAATCAAGACTTTCAGCTGCTCTTCAGGATCCTCTTTAAAACTGATAAAACCATTAGTTATTATACTATTATACGTATCTTCAGTGAATGGGCCAAATTTTTATTAAGGAAAGAATTAAAAACTTTTAACATATAAATTAATTACAGTTAAATTAATCTTTCTTTTTTTATTTAAAACGGAGAAAGCTTAAGTTGCTGTGCATGATTGCACCCTGTTTCCAGTGTTTTAGCAGAGGGGTGGAAAACTGACATGTTGCTTCATCATGAATTGAAAACAGGTTTTCCTATCGATAAGGTTGTGTCTTTTAAGGACTTTGCAGCAGTTCTGTGCCTCTCAGCAAAGAGGTGGGTGATGGAACTCCTCCGAGAAGTGTGTCATCCTTCAGTTTTCACACTTGACTGAGCATCCATGCACATGCAAGCATGTGTCCTTGTAAGTCTGTGGGTGACCTTAAAATCTCCATATATCATTTCATATCAGTATTAGGGTCAGTGTAAAGCAAAGTCACAGGGAATGCACAGCTTAGCTGCTGTTGTTGATATTTAAGAAGAGTAACATTTAGTAGTGTGTCTGCACTGTGAAATACATACACATCAGGACATTTGATTTAACGTAGACATTAAACATAAAAACGCTGCTGTGAATCCACTTTATAACAGTAAAATGATCATCTCACATAGACTGCGCTATTGCTCATGTGTATTGATTACACACACCAGTTTTGTGTCTTCTTTCCCCACCTTAGCACCACAAATGCCCCAAGGATGCTACTGACCCCACTGCAGCCGCTGAAGTGGAAGTGACTGATGCTGTAACAAAAGATGCTGTGACAGCGTAAATAGAGCTGAGAGTCTTTCAGCTGCAAAGTGTTGAGCTCCTGTTACACTGCCATCGTTCTAAACAGTTTAGATATTGCTCTGTACACTGAAAAATTAGACTCCCAAACATTAAATAAAAGCAGATCATAAACATGCATCTGGCAACCAAAGGTGCCAGCTCTGGCAGTACTTTGTCAGTGCGATCCAAAGATTTGTCATGAAAATACAGCAGATGTTTTGCTCTGTGGAAACAGTCAGGAATCAGTGACTCCACTCCTGGACCAAAGGAGCATTTTCTCACTGGTTAAACCAATATCTTGTAATTGCAATGGAGCACAACAGTGCAGTTTCAGCTCATTGTCTTAATTAGTTTTGAACAAAGTGAGTGTGTGGGCAGATTAACAAAGGAAACCTGATGACTGTTTGTGAGCTGCATTTGCATATGTACAAAGAGTCTAGTTACTAAGCTTATTGGAAAATTGTCAATATTTCAAGCAAGCTGTTAACATGCTGGCTAGTAGCTCAAACGGCATTAATATTTCAATTTCCTCAATGTATATCAGAATATCACTCTACAGATGAAAATTTCCCTTTAATAAGGAAACTGAGAACTGCAGTTATCATGCCAATATTGTATAATGACCCATATTATTACTTAGCAAAAATAACTGAATTCTAATGAAGGTGATTATATAGTGAAGTAAAAGACATAGGGTAATATGCATGATTGTTTCCCCAGGTAAACTAATTAAAAGAAAAACAATGCTGATATCAACCATCCGGGCAGATGAAAAAAATCATGAAAACATATGTGCTATAAGGGAGAGGAGTAAATATTGTGTTTGACAAACATTGAATTATTTATGTGACTTGATTGTATACATTATAAGTGAGAATACTGGATATAAATGACATATTTAACAGTTTTTTTGAGTATAATCTTAGAATGATTACTCCACTTTAATAAAAGCCTTATTTTTATGCCTTTACAGATGTGCACAGGGGGACGTTGTCACACACACAGCATGGCTAAACCGGTCAAGTATACTTTATGCTGGAGAAGACAAATGGTCGGTGGATCCTAGAGTGAGTCTGGTGACCCTTAATCAAGAGGAGTTTACCATCAAGATTGAAAACGTGGACATGACAGATGAGGGGCAGTATGTGTGTGCGGTCCAGACGAGCAGTCGACCAAGAACCACCTCAGTGCACATCCTTGTCCAAGGTAACACGTATGTACCACTGCTACTGCTGGAGCTACTGCTACCGATACTAAATAACAGTAATAACAGCAGTAATAATTAAGTCATTTTGAATATGTTTTGTAATTTCTATAAAACAGCTATTTGTTTAACCTGCTGCCAGCTATAAATCTTTACCTTGGATTTTTTATATTCTCATCTTGACAGGTGTTTAATGTAACACATCCCCATTTCCTAACAAGCATGTCAATTCTCTATTCTCTATTCACATTTACCAGCATCACATCGGAGTACTGATCTGTTTCAGCCATACAGTTTAACAGTCTAGTTTTAAACTGGGTTGGTTTGCACTATATGATTAATGATGTTATTCCTGACCAGCACATGAGGGCATGAGTGAACAGACCAGAGTAAAAACAGACATGTGCTCCATTTATCGAATCTCATTTCCTCAGTCATTGCTCCACTGGAGCAATTATGGGCTAAATGCCTTGCTCAAGGAGAGGTAGGGGAGTGTGTTCCTCATTCGCTACGTGAGGTGAGGTTAATGGGGAATACCAGGTGTTAAGATGCTTTGGCTAAAATTATGTGTGGAGTTGTGATAGTGTCCTCATGGAGATGCAGGCACAGTAATGAGATGGTTTAATGCTACCAATGTATTATGCAAATGATCTGTACAGCATGCAGTGCTGCTCATAACACGTCATCCCCAAGTTCATTAACAGGAAAAGAAAAAGCTATTATTGGCCAAGTTTGGATTTCTTATATTTTCAGTTTTGTTCTGCAACAAGATGCCAAACAACAATAATGCAGGATTAATAACAATGAAACAATGTAAAGTAGCAATGCATTTTAAAGCCACACCACAATAAAACTGGCTTTAACTTCTGCACTGATCAAATATGAATATTTTGAAGTAAATCATTTTTATTTGACTAATGAAAGTAATAAATGTGGTAACACCTCTTGCTTCTGTATAAACATGTTTTCTTCAGATTTTGGTGTCTGTTTATTCCTTTTTCAATACAATATGCCTTTTCAGGACACTGATAACAGGATCATTTGCATTCTACTGTATAACCTCGTGAACAAACAAACTCAAACTACAGTACCTTTTATAAAGAAATACCAGGTATTTTAAAAATGATCACTCCACTGAATGGCCATTATTCATGGTTATCGTGCCCAGAATTATGCTTCAGTTCCGGCAAACTATATTATTTACAAACATTTTAATATTTACAGGGTTTTCCTGGGTCAGTAAAAGTCTTAAAAAGTCCAAAATCCAATCATTGTATTTTCCATCCATCCATCCATCCATTTTCCTCCGCTTATCCGGGACCGGGTCGCAGGGGCAGCAGTCTAAGCAAAGATGCCC